CTATAGTATTAGAGACCAAGATTTGAAGTCTTAATCTGAGCAGCACTTTCTGGTTAGGAACAAAATCATCAATGAGAAATAATTATCTAAATAACTTTTTATATAGACTTAAGCCTAATGTCTGGGACGTGTAATCCCTTGAACTCTGAAAGAAGTATACTGATGACTTTACTCTTTGGTTATACTTTTGGGTGTCTAAGACCACACAGTTGGCCCAAATAAATCAATTTATTTTTACACTTAAGGTCATTTGAGGATCTGTTCCTAGGGGTCACCTGGGATGGGAGGAGCTCCTGGCTCCTTTCTTTTACCAGATCTGGGCGTAAAACTGAGAAATCTGAATTTTAGTTTGAAAGCTCTTAGAAAGGAAAGTTTTTGTCAGTGTTGTCAAGATAACACTTTTGTTTGGGAACTATTAATCTAGTAAGTAGTGTGGAGCGTACAATACAGGGAGGCAGATGCAGAGTCCTGAGACCGTTATCCGTATTCACATGAGTGAAGACAGCCAAGCTTAATTAATCCAGCAGGGTCAAACAGTAGGCAATTGTTTTGAGAATCATTAAAGACCCCTTGGTGACTGCATATAAATGAGAAGTTTGATGAAAGGATGACATCAGATTTAGGGCTTAGGCAGATGCTGTTCTTTAGTAAGTTACACAATACAGAAGGCACAGATTTGGTAAAAGTGCTGTTTGGATTTGTTGAACTAAATGAGATGGGTCTGTGGCTTAGAGACAGGTCTGTGCCTTAGAGACAGAGACTAGGAAGATTCTAGGTGGAGAAAGTAAATTGGAACACCAACCAGAATGTACTGTGTTTGAGAGTGTGGACTGGAAGGTTGAGCCCCATAAAAGTCAAGTGTCTTACCCTTGTATACTTGGTAAGTTGGCAATTCAACACCAGCGTTTCATGCTGAAAACCTATCTCTTTTATTTCCCTTGTCTATGATAGTTACCAGGTGTAGGTTTCTTCTTGGTTCTTGCCTTCTTGAAGGAAAGAATTGAGGTCCAATGCATAGTTTAAAAAAAGATTAAAGTTTGCATTTATCAAAGCAAAGACTCCCAAGTGAGACTGCTTATAATATATTCCTGATGGGTAGAATCATCAGAGATTCATCCCACTTATTCTAGCCCCTTGATAAATGGTCTTAAGATAGAATATTTCATTGCTAGGTAAATTTGTGATCTTGAAAATGAATAAAAATGAAATAAAAATTTATACTCATGAAATTTAATAAAAATGAAAATAAATGTTTGTTTTAGTTACTTTTCTTGTTGGTATGATGAAATACCCAGCGCAGGCAGTTTAAGGAAGGAAAGATTTATTTCAGATCCCAGTGTGAGGATATAGTCCTCAAAGGATGAGGCAGCTGGTCACACTGTGTCTGCAGTCAGGAAGCAGAGAGGGGTGAATGCTGGTGCTCGGTCACTTCTTTTTTTTATTCAGTCTAGGACTTCCGCCCCAGAATGGTACCACCCATATTTAGGAGAGGTCTTCCTACCTCAGTTAACCCAATCTACAAACTCTCTCACTCACATGCCCAGGAGTTTGACTCGCAAGTAATTCTAGATCCTGTCAAGTTAACAGTATTAACCATCACAGCCTTCCTTTACAAGCTTATCTCCCAGCCAACCCTGATACCAGAGAGGAAAACCTGTTAGCCATTAGAAAAACAATAGGTTTGTTTGCCCAGTGATTATAGACTTGCCAGACCCACAGAAAGAGAAATGACTCTGCACAACTCCATTTACCCAAGAAGTGGCCAAATACCAAGTAGTATGTATGTATGAACACTTGGATAGATGTTGATGATTTGATTTGTTTTATTTACAGTTTTTAAACCTTTTTTTTTCTTTTTTTCCAGGCAACCTCCCGACTTTTAGTAAATTACCCAGAACCCTATCGTTCCGAAATACTGGATTACCTCTTTAAGGTAATAAAAAATAATTACTAATGGACCTGTGATGTTTTAGAAAGTATACGGTGAATTTCAAGCATGGAATTTATCAAGTTTATGATAATAGTTCTTTAAACTGGCAGGTTACTTTTGGAGTCAGCTGCTCTTTGAAGTTCTGCTTTCTTTTTCATCTGTGAAACAAAGGCAGTTACTAATGATTGTTTTTACATGATGAAGCCTGGTGGTAACACTGTTACTTTTTTCCACAGCCAAACTTTGGTGCCTCTTTGCATATTCTAAAAGTCGAAATAGGTGGTGATGGGCAAACAACAGGTAGGAGCATTTGGGAAATAGGATTTTCCCCCAATATTTTAATCTACACTTAAACATATGGAAAATAAGAAATTTTAACTCGAGGTTGATTGTTGTCATTAGATTGTTCCTCACATTTCTTTTCTTACATTTTTATTTATTTGAGAGTGAGAGAGGAAGAGGGGGAATGTGTGTATGTATGTGTATGAGCACATGCATGTGGAGGTCAGAGGACAACTTGAAGGAGTTGGTTTGGTTCTTTCCTTCTGCCATATGGGTCCCAGGACTCCTTTACCTGCTGAGCTATCTTCTGGCCCAGTTTCTTTTCTACTTGTAATTCTTTCTAAAAATTGTCAAATATTAATTTTTCAAAACAGTGTTTAGACTGCATATTTGAAATAATTGTTAGTGAAAAAATCCAGTCTATGCTAGACAGAATATAGGTACATTTGGAATTTTATGGAAAAGTTGAAAGATTTTAATTATGTATAGACTTTGTAAGGTGTTATTAACTATAAAAATATCATAAAAGTTTACATAATGTTAATTAGTAGAGGTGATGAACATTACCATTGAAATCTATCCGATGACTTTATAGACATACATAGGCGCTAAGGATCCAAGTACAAACGATTATGACTAGTAATAATTAGATACATACAGATTAGAGACCATGCGCCAACAACTCAGTGTTAGTAGCAAAAACAATGAGTCTTTTTGTAAGAAACAGTATATTTTAGAATGAAATGGAGATCTTTTTTGAGGGTTAAAAACTCATTCAATTTTATATCTTACAGGGCTTATACTGAGCTCAATATCGTATAACTATATTGATTCAACAACAAACCTAGAAAATTTATAGCCACTGTTGAGAGATGCATCTTTGCTCTGGAAATTGTTATTGAATATGTTAAGATGAGGAACAGCTGACCCTCCTAAAACAAAGACCTCTAGATAGGCTGACTAGATTCACCAGATGGACAAGTAATGGGGAACGGCTTGGGGTGCCGGGTGCCGACAACACAGCAGACAGTAGCAGGGATGACAGAGTATAAGGGCTCTAGTGGGGGGAGGTAGGCTATGGGAGGGTGCCATTTGGGAATAATCATGTGGTTATTAAATTTTAAAAAATTAAAAAAATAATTCTTCAAAGTATAAAAATTTGTTCCTTAATAATTAGTAAATGTGAAAAACATTACCATTAAAATCTACCTGATGACTTTATATCCATGCTCAGATGCCAAGGAGCTCAGAAAGTAACCGACTATGACTAGTAATAATCAGATATATAGAGATTAGAAACGCATGTGCAAACATCTTAGTGTCAATTGCATTAAAAATGGATTTTTCTGTATGAAACTGTGTATTTTAATAATGAAATGGAGATCTTTTTAAAAGGTTAATAATATAATTTTATGTCTTAAAGGGTTTATACTGAGTACAATATTGTATAACAGTATTAATTCAACTGTAAACCTAAAAATTTACAGCCAATTTTGAAACAGATGCATCTTAGCTCTGGAAATTGTTATTGAATATGTCAATGCTGTTGTCATGAAATGCTTCTTCTAATTATGTGGTTATTAAATAAATACTTAAAATATGTGATAAGATATCTGTATTTTAGAAATAGCTTTGTCTTTTAATAAACATATCTATTTTAAATGGCTAGATATGACTAGATAGCCATAGTTTGATTGGCTGTGTGTGATGCTATCAAGAAACAGTTTTAGATGTCTTGTTTTCAGGAAGAGGATAAAGTCCTTCTCTCAGTGATTAGGCACAACTTATCATTTGGTTCACTTCCACTGTAATTAACTTGATAATATCTTCCATTTGTCTTCCTACCAGTGATTTCGAAGTAATTTTTTTTAGCATACATCAAGTATGGTATTATTATTAGAGTTTAGGACCAAAGCCCTAGTTTTCAGCGTAACAGACTAATTTGACCACCAATACCAATGTGCCAATCAGAGACACAAGGTGGTGGTGAAGGACAGGAAAGAGACTCTTTATCATCTAGGCCACCCTGAAGGAACAGAAAAAGGTCTAGTGATCCAAGACTTATCTTTGAAGGGCTGATAAGGACTTTGAAAAGGGGAACAAAGGCAAGAATCTGGGGTTTGGCAACCTAAGTTTTTGCCCAGTTGGCAGAGCACATAATCTTGGCCAGGCTGTGGTCTGGTTTTTCATTATCTCAAAGCTGGTTCTGCAGTGCTTCTGGGAAGTCATCATCCCCAGGGCTTGTGATGCTTGCCCAACCAAGGGGGTAGCTTGGTTTCCCTTCTAACCTGCTGTGGGAGGTTCACTGTTGTTTGGGGGTAGTTTCAGTGCACTGTCATGAAGATGTTTGTGGATCAGAATCCAAGATAGCTGCAGGAGTAAGTGATATTGGAGAACTCAGAAGGAAAAATGTTAATGTGGCTAAGTGAAGTCAGAGAGGGCAAATGGGAGTGAGGTCAGTTACTGGGCCCTCCTTCAGTAGTAAAGTTTAATTCATGTTCAAAGAAAATATGGAAACCAAAACAACCTCAAAACCGCACACCAGAAGCTTTTCTCAAGTTATTGCAAGAGGACATGTGTTTTACTGTCAGACCTTTTAGACAGAAGTGATCGTGGTTGGCCTGATGCGTATGCCAGAGCTCAGTTAGAGGTAAAGAAACATAAAGACAGTTCTTATGGACTCTGATATTTACTGTGAAGAGGAAACGGACCAGAGTCCTTGTTCTTGGAAGGCCCTACTTACCAAGGACACACATCTGTGAAGCATGAGAGCACACAGGGACTTGAGCTCAGTTACCCACTGGTGAACTTTCTGTTACCTCTGCTAGGCACGGGCTAGCACTGACTTTTGGTATTGCAGGTATGTAGGTATATATGCTATAAAGTTATATATGTGACAGGCGACTGACCTACCTCACTCGCATTTTGCCCCTTGCATGGTAGGTATTGTGTTCATTGTTCCTTTTCTCAAGACTGAAGTATTATATTGTGTGGGGTATAAAAATTGGGGCTCAGGATTACAGGGATTTACATCCCAAGCTGAGACTGAAAGTTGAGGTGAACTTGAAGTTGGACATGGAATTTGCAAATCAAAGAGGTCAAAAGCCCAGCAGAACAAGTCCTAGGATTTTTTCAGTAATATAAGGGGATAGCAGTTCTCTTAATACAGCTTTTATTATAGCATTGTGATTTTTATTAAGAATTTTACAGTATTTAAGACTATGAAAAAGTGTGAAATGATATGTTTGATCACCACCTACTTATATAATTCTTACTTGCTCAACTTCAGGTTTGGAACTAGAATACTAGAAGAATACTTTCAGGAAGCTGTGTGTGTGTGTGTGTGTGTGTGTGTGTGTGTGTGTGTGCACTGAAGTGATTCTAGAAAGTGCCATTCATAGGCCATTTCTTTCCTTTTGCTCTTTCCCAATTCAGATGGCACTGAGCCCTCCCACATGCACTATGAACTAGATGAGAATTATTTCCGAGGCTATGAATGGTGGTTAATGAAAGAAGCTAAGAAGAGGAACCCTGATATCAGACTTATAGGTGAGAATGAAGTTTGCAGTGCTTAGCAGTCTCTTACCTCCTTTTAAATTTGGACCCGTGCTGCTAGAGTCTCTTTTAACACTGAAATACTAGAGTTTTTGATGTTGCCTGGCATATCAGCTATGAAACATATGCCAAGAGTGATCTTTTATTGTCTGTGTCTGTTATGTTAATCTTTATACTTATACATTATAGTACTTTATACTTTTATTCTACTTAAATATTTCTTAAATTTTTTTTTATTTTACTAAATGTGTGTTGATTTGTGTGTCTGGGTTTGTGCATATGAATGCATTACCTGCAGAAGAGGGTGTCGGATTCCCTGGAGGTGGACGTGATTGACTGTGTGGGTGCTGGGAACTGGTTCTTTGCAATAACCACTGGGCCTTCTCTTCAACCCCTAATTTTTTTCTTCAATTTATTTTTATTTTATGTATATGAGTGTATTGGCTGCATGTAGGTAGGTGCATCCGTATTCCTGCAGTGCTCTTAGAGGTCAGAAGAGGTCATTGGATTTCCTGGAATTGGAGTTATGAATGGGTGGTTGTTAGCTGCCGTGTGGGTGCTGGGAATTGAACCTGGATCTTCTGCAAGAGCAGTCAGTGCTCTTAACCACTGAGCCATCTCTCCAGCTGCCCCACCCCCCCATTTTTATTTTTTTTCTGCAACAAGGTAGCCCAGGCTGGCCTCTAACTCATTTTCTTCTTGCCTCTGTCTCCCAGGTGCTAGGATTATATAGTGTTACAGGTTTGGTTCATCAGGACTGCCTTGTTATTTTTGAACCTCTGTGACACTGAGGTCATGTTCTAGAGACCATGGATACTGTGGAGTCCACTCTCCAATTCCTGTCCACATTAGCTTCTGTCGTAGTAGCAGAATCAGTGGATAATTGCTCAAGCTGGACTATATTCAGTTGTATAGTTCTGTAGCAATATGAACTATTTTAAAAAGCCAGAGTGGTAGGATTATTTTATCATTTGAAATGAATTTGCTATTTTGGAACAGGCTCACATCAGACTAAGGTAAGTAAAATTAATGGCCTATTTTATTTTATTTAATGAAAAATTTTAATTGAAATTTTGCAATTTTCATACACTATAATTTGATGCTATTTAGATTCCCTCCCATATGTGCACCTCCCCTTATCACACCCTGCTTGAATTAATGTACTCTATTATATATGGAACGAGACCATAAAGCCTAATTTGTGTCCCCAAGTGTCCTTCAGTGTGGGTCCGTCTGCTGGAGCCTGGTTAACCACTCAAGAGTCCCATCCTTGAAAGACGTTGTCTCTACCCACTCCCACAGCAGAAATTTGGGTTGCCAAAATTTCCTTAAGTTGGGTTGGGGTTTCATAACCATTTCCCCATGTCTATGCTGGGATTTTGTCTGGTTTGAGCTTGCATGGGACTTGCGCATGCTGTAATAATGACCAGTTTTAAATGCTTTGCTGAGTTATTTAAAAATAATTCTCTCAGTAGTCAAAGTAAAAGAGTAATATTTTCTAAATGAAAACTGTGAAAAGTGTGTTCTTTCAAATGGACTTTTGTGAGTGATTCCAGAAGTGCTTTGAGTAGGAAGAAGCTTGAATTGAGCACATGCTCCCCTCCTCACTGAGCTGTCTTCAATTTAAATGTAGAAAACCCTCATTTAAACGTAGACAGTCTGTCATGTTAAACCACATCTCAACGAAGACTTACACACATGGGCCTTCACGGTATTTAGTATTACATTCTTTTCAAATGTTCCATTAATTCACTGTCATACTTCTTCTGTAATGAAATTAGTTTAGAAAATAAAAGGTCATTTTGTCATTTTGAGTTTGATTTTTCAGCAATGAACTACATTGATAATGAATTTAAGAGAAAGCTTGACTATTAACTATTAAGCTTATTTTAACATGTTACAGTTGAAGTAAGAATGAGAATTATAGCTAGTGGTTTTCTTTTCATATGTTAAGTAAAAAAGGCTTAAGAGTGAAAAGAGTTACTGGAAGAATACAAGACTTACTTGACGTAGTTCATGTAACACAGGAGTATTTCCATATGAGCCACTGACATATTTATTAAAGGACTAATTTAGGTCTGCTAATCTTGAATGCCTGATCTAACCTTAAATTATAAGATGTCCTTGTAAATGAGAAATTTGTGTTACACTTGCCTTATAAGGATAGTTTAGCATAAGTCTTTCATGATTCTGCTTTGACCTCAGAGAATAGGAATTGAATCTTGAACAGCCCAATCAAGAATATAGATGTTCAAATGTATATTTCTAATAGTGTGTTGAGAGAGGGATTTGTTTGTTCTTATTTCATTTTCTTGAAAGAACATATGGAGTTATAGGGCCTGGTTCTAAGAATCAATAAGAAATCATAGTGTCTCTAGAGTAGAAAGGATTCAAACATGAGCATGTGGTGCAGTCTTCCCATTTAGCCATCTATACATTGCCCCTCTCCTTCCTGAATGGGCTTGGGTTTGTTGGCTTTGTTTCCAGTAGCTATCACTGCTTCACACTCCTTTTCCTCTGTTCTCCTCACAGGGTTGCCATGGTCATTCCCTGGATGGCTGGGCAAAGGGTTCAGCTGGCCTTACGTGAATCTTCAGCTGACTGCCTATTATGTTATAAGGTGGATTATGGGCGCCAAACATTATCATAATCTGGACATTGACTATATTGGGGTTAGTAATATATTGAAAATATGATTAATATTTGGATATTTGTATAATTTTAGGTTTTTTAATTCTTTTTTGATCCATTTAAAACTTAATAATCATTCTTCAGTTCATATAGAACAAAATTTGCTTGTTGAATAGCACTCAATAGAATGCTATGATATAATTTTTTGTTGTTTGTTTGTTGGGACAGGGTGTCTCTGTAGCCCCAGCTGGCCTGGAACTCTCTATGTAGACCAGGCTGGCCTTGATCTCATAGAGATCTGCCTGCCCCTGTCTCCAGAATGATGGGATTAAAGGCTTGAACTACCACACCCAGCTTGCTATAGTTTTATTCAAAAGAAAAGGGGAAATTTTTTTAGTTTTAAGAAACAACAACACACTTTTTCTTTTTTCCATGGTGGATAGGTGAATTTAACTTTCTTTGTATTGAAGTAGCAAGAACCATTTCTGCATTTTATGAGAATCCAATGTGTTACCCTTTGAGGAAGTGATTGTGAAAGTTGGAATTTTTAAAAAAATCCATTGGCCATTAGTGGAATGGGAATTAGACATGACTAGCCACTGAGTACATTTTTCTCATTGAACCATTTAGAAAAACTGATTTTTCTTTGCTGGATAGGCCTTAACCTATATGACAGAATGCATAAAATCTGTTGGGGGGTGAGTATGGGGAGGGAGCCAGTGCAGATAGGGGAAGGTTCGAAATATGAGCAAGATGTAGTATATGAAATTTGCAAAAGTCAGTTTAAAAAAAAGTAATTTGTTTGTTAAATTGGCTTTGTAACTTGAAATTTTTCCATGCTTTCTTTTGTTTAAAACGATATAAAATAATGCTATTACAGTGCTGTTTAATGTGTAAATTGTATTTCTATGCATAAAATAATTTTTTTTTTCTTAAATAAAAAACAACTTTCAGTTCAGACAATTTCAGTTCTTGTTTTGCAGATTTGGAATGAAAGGCCGTTTGATGCCAATTATATCAAGGTCTGTACAACTTTAACATCTATCTTCTTATACTTCACATTGAAATTAGGAGGAAATTGATAGTAGAATCATCATGGAGTTTTGTTGGTTGTGACATAAAATTAGAATTTTGATGTTTATGTTCCTGATATTAAAGCAAATGTATGTAATTCTTTGTAGGCCCAGAATTGCCTTTATCTGAAGAGTTGGGTTGAATGTTCTTATTTTAAAATCCATTAATTGCTGGGTGTGGTGGCACACGCCTTTAATCACAGCACTTGGGAGCCAGAGACTGATGGAACTCTGTGAGATTGAGGTCAGCGTGGTCTACATAGCAAGTTCTAGGCCAACTGGGGCCACAGGGAGATACTGTCTCAAAAGAAAATTCATTAGTGTTGGGAGTAGAGTGAAGCTCAGGGTGAGATGCATGCTTATGTGTAGCCTAGTTTCCATCCTCAGTACCAAAGAAAAAAGGATTAATTTTATAATTCTAGTAACCATTACATAATCTTAAAGATTCAAGAAACTTAGCTTTACTCTTTGTTATGCTTTTCGGTTTGCTTCCTTGAAGCCCCATTATATTGTTGTTGTGCGTTCTAGTCTGTTGAGTCAGGACAGGAGTGCAAGCAGGAGTTTGAAGTAGAAACCAGGAGGAATGCTGTTTGCCGCTTTGCTCTTAGGCTTATGCTTAGCTAGCTTTCTTTTATAGCCCAGGACCACCTGCCTAGGGACAGTGCTACCCATAGTGGACTGGGTATTAGCAATCAAGACCATAGCTCACAGACATGCCAAGAGGCCAGTCTGGTCTTAACAGTCCTTCAATTGAGAGTCCCTTCTCACCGGACCCTAGGCTGTACTAGTAGAGAGTTTAAGCTCACCAGGATAGAGTATGTTATGTAACATTTCTCTTTGCAATTAGTATTTGTAAATCATATTTTTGATACTGCTTTTGCTATGTCGGTTTAATTCTTTCAAATCCCCCCCTGAGGTAATAACTGTTACTGCCACCTTTTAGGAACTAGAAAACTGAAAATAGCAGTGCCTGCCACTGGAAAAAACCTGACAGTTTTGCTTTTCAGGTTAAGCTTGTCACTAGCGTATGATGGACCCAAGTCCCCCCAAATGATGGATTTAAACTAAAATCCCCCAGGCCTGAGAAAAACTGTACAAGGAAGTAAAAATGAAAAATAATTCTTACTGCTAAGAACAAGCTGAGCTGACCTTTTTCATGCTCTCTGCCTAAGCTGGAAGTCATCCCAGAAATCCCCCCCTACCTCTGCTTGGCACATAGCCGCCGCTTGTAGTTTTTGTCTTTAAAAAGAAGCTTGTAGGCTGATTTGCGGCTTCTCTTTATGGACGCCAATCTGCAGATGTAATAAATCCTCATGCTTGTTGCATCTCCTGATTTGAGGACTGAGATTTGGGGTGTGACCTCCCGTGAACGTTGGGTACCCCAGTCTGGGGGTCCAACACGTACTTTTCTATTTGTCTTATTTTATGGTACTTTTCTCCAAGAAATGTTTAGTGATTATATTTTGTTCAAATTTTTACAATTATTTTCTTTAAATTGAGTGTTTACGCTATTAAGCAGATAATTTTCAGTGAATTTCTTTTGCTTATTTAGTCAGAAAGTATTCACTCAACACCTAGTGCATCAGATGTGTTTGTTTGGAATGCTGGGAAAGGAAATACTGTTTATGCCCCAAAGGAGTCTGGACAAGTGTAGATACTTTCTGTTGCTTTGATAAAACACTAACCAAAAGCGACTTGGAGAGGAAAGGGTTTATTTCACCTTATAGCTTATAATTCATCATGGAGTGGAACCAGGGTAGGATCTCATGGCAGGACTTTGGAGGCAGAAACTGAAGCACAGACCACAGAGGATGCTGCTTACTGGCTTTCTCCTCTGGCCTGTGCTCAGCCTGCTTTCTTATACAACTCAGGACTACCTGCTGAGGGGTGGCACCACCCACAGTGGATCTGGTACTCCCACATCACTCAACTATCAAGAAAATGCCTAACAGACATGCCCATAGGCCAATCCGATAGAGGAAATTCCCCAGTTGAGATTTCCTCTTCCCATGTATGTTGACAATTGACACTATTCAGCATAGCAAGGGACAGAGATGAAATATGATTCATCATTTTTTCTAACAGAATGATGCAAATACTGGGCTCTCAGAAAGTACCAGAAGAGATGGAATGTCTCCCTGGGTTGGATAGGGAAATATGTTAAAGGTGTTTATGTGTAGATGTAATCTTCAAGAATAGGTGACTAGGAGCTCCCCAAGTCACTATGGCAGGAGCATAGTATTGAAAGAAGTCAAAGCTGAAAGGTGAAGAGACTTGTTTTTTGCTATGTAATTATATTTCTGAGTTACTCTGTTTTATGGTGATTTGGCAGAAGGGTTTTGAAATTGTGTCTGGAAACTCCCTTCTAGGATCCGAGGGTGTTAGATAGAAGTGGACGTGTAAGCCTGGACATTCTAGCCCATCATCCCTTTCACTTTTTAAAAATAGACAAATAGATGAGATGTAGGTACTTCTTGGAAGGGAAGGGTTACACAACAAAAGTGGCATTTGAAAATATGACAAAGCTTTTAAAACAATGCTATAATCACATTGGCTTTGAGATGGAAATTGACTTATAAATCGCAGCTTACAGAGCATGTACATTTTGAAATTTTTTTCAAGTATACTACATAAAATAGTATATACAATATTAATTGGGAGTAAGTTTAGAAAAATTAGATATATAGAGAATGATAAATAAATACAAGTTTGACTAAGCTATTCTCTTTCGGAAAGAATAAGAAAAAATTTGAGAGTAATCAAACAAAAAATTGATTTCCTAATCCAAATGGTGTTGCCAGTTGGTCTTAGCATAACTAAGGGGGTCTGTTTATCTTGCCTCCAGGGTACCCTTGGACTCAAGTGAGAGTCCTTGAAAGATGGATTTGGGTTGCCACTGTAACTCTCATTACATTTTCTAAAATACTACCATATATAATAATGTACCAGTTTTAAGAAACCATCCATTATAAAGTATACTATCGTTTAATTAGATATTTTATTATTTGTTTCCTTAAAAGAAAACATTAATTGGAAATTTCCTGTCAGAAAAAATTACAATGTAAAACAAAAAGCTTGTGAAATTCTTCACTTTTGCTTATCTTAATTGATTCGATTGATATTATTTAGCACCTGCTATTTATGTGTCTGAGAGTTTTAAATCTTACCGGCGAATTACCAGTTTCCTATTTTTGTGTGGAATCTGTTCCTGCCTGCGGATATTTTTTTTTCTGCCCCATTTTACATATAAATAATCAATTATTTTCATTTTTCTAGTTTGTCCTGATAGTTTTGGTGATCTGGTGAGTGTTTGCCACTTAAGGCTAAGGGCTGCATCTCCTGCTGCCTTTATAGTCCTGAGGACTCACAGATGGTCCAAGTGCCAGTGAAGGCATTTACTTGTGCTTTGATAGTATTCTAGTAAGCAAGTGATCCTACAAGTAGATTTTTTTTAATGGTCTTTTTGAGACAGGGTCTCCCTGTAGCCCCAGCTGGCCTGGACTCTCTGTGGAGATCAGGCTGGCCTCGAACTCAGAGATATCGGCCTGCCTCTTCTCCCAAGTGCTGTAGATTTTATTTCCTGTCCTGTTTGTAAGAAAGACAGGAGAGCAAGAGTGGGATAGTTTTTATTTCCACTTAAGAATGACACATAGACTTTTAAGAACTGTGATCATTTGAATAATGGTGGAATAGTTAAAGACAGTAAGAAATACTTAACAGGTTGAAGTATTTTATCACATAGTATGAATAATATCCCAATTTTGTTTTTATGTCTACATAGGAAAATTCTAGGAAGAAAGCATACCAAAGTAATAGCCATTGTTATATACCATTTGATTAGGGTTTTATTCTTCCCCTCATATTCCCTAATTTCTGTTGTTTGACATAATTTTAAACTCATGAAGAAAGCTCTTCTACATTTTAACGCCCTGTGGGAACTATCATCCAGAATGCAACATCTTTGGTAAATACTCTAGTTATTTTGGTATTCCAATAACTAAAAACTCACTTTGTAAACCCTCCTGTGTTCTGTTTATGTCTCCAAAGGTCTTAAGAAAGATGCTGGATTATCAAGGTCTCCAGCGAGTGAAAATCATAGCAAGTGATAATCTCTGGGAACCAATTTCTTCTTCCATGCTGCTGGACCGTGAACTCTGGAAGGCAGTTGATGTTATAGGGTAAGGCATGATTTACTTTGAGAACTAGCAGCTTCTGGTTGCCTGATCTGGGCGTTGACTGTGCCTTTCCTCTTGCCTCCTCTTCCCCATTTGAGCACAGCCCCTGAAAGTGTTTAGTACACTAAAACAGGTGTAGTTGACAGCTCATTCTTTTTTCTTTGAGATGTATTAGTTTGAGGACCTTTCTATAACAAATTTATTGGTGACTTTAAAAAGAAAACATCTTAATAAAACAGGGCTTTATTTACATTAAAAGGGATGTTAGTTATTTAATTTTAAAAATTACCAAGGCAATACTGTAAAATTAGTTCCAGTCTGAGATTTACTGTGACTTGAAGTTCCTACTTACCTAAATGACTTGGTGTAATCACTATACCTTGTCATGTATCTATGACCCTGTTCCTCAATCCATTTCTGCTGTACAGCTCTCTAGGTCCTAACCGAATTAGGCTCAGCAGTATTTTTTTTTTTTTTTGGTGTTGTTGTTGTTATTGTTTTTTTGGTCTTTTTAAGATAGGCTCTCCCTGTAACCCCAGCTGGCCTGGAACTCACTGTGTAGACTAGGCTGGCCTTGAACTCACAAAGATCTGGGTGTTGGATTACTCATACAGGTGTTATAGTGCAATTATTGTCCTCTGAGCTATATCTTTATCTCATAGTCTCTTTTGTCATTAATTTAACATTTTATTATTGTGGTCATTTAACGGCAAATTTATTATTTAAATTGTTTTTTCTGAAGAACTTCTTTTTTGACCTAGGATATATTTTCTGTTATGATACGGAGTTTGGTATATAACATTTCCCTTATTGGAGGTATTATTTAAATGTTTTGTGTACTAATTATATTCTAATGATATTGTCACGTGAGCTGTGGGGAGCTACTAACTAGATTCTGCCTCTCCTCAGTCTTAGCAGTTTGGGCTGTATGAGAGTTTCTGCTCTTCTCTTTGGTGCGTAGATGATAACTGTTTCTTTCCTCACGATTTGTGACTATTGTGAATAGAAAATGTCATCCTGTGCCTCATTTACTCTTTCTTGGACTGAATCCTGCTTTTCATCTAGTTAAGAGACCCCCTGCTTTCATTTCTATTTGTCTTTTATTCCTTTCCATTCAAGATCATTGTATTTAGACACAGTTCTTGCAGTAAGCTAAATTTTGCTTTTTAATGATGCCCTGAAACATCTTTGTATTTCTTTTCTTTTTAAAGATTTATTTATGTGTGTGTGTGTGTGTGTGTGTGTGTGTGTGTGTGTGTGTGTGTGTGTGCGTGTGTGTCTTTTTGTGTATATGCTGTGTGTGTGTGTGTGTGTGTGTGTGTGTGTGTGTGTGCATGTGTGTCTGTTTGAGTATATGCTATGTATGTGAGGGAGACCAGAAGTGGATATTGGATCCCCTGGAGCTGGAGTTAGAGGTGATTGTGAATTGATAGACTTGGGTGCTGGGAACATAACTTAGACCCGTTGGGAGAGCAGGAAGCCTCTCGTTTACATCTTTTGATGTAACTGATGTTTGTGTTCTCTATGTTACAGCTAACGTCTTTGGTTATTGAATGATCTGTATGATGTATCTAGTATTGGGAATTCTATTGCTGTGGGATTTTTTTATTTTTTGGTTCTTGTTTATGGAGGTGTCTCTTATTTAGCAATGCTTGTTTTTGTTTCTGCTGATTACAATCATTCTGAATCATAGATTATACCATTGGTTCTCAGCTGGGGATAATTTTATCTCCTAGGAAACATTTGGCAATGTCTGGAGATACTTGTAATTATCTTAGGTAGGTAAAGAGGTGCTATTTGCATCTGAGGGGTGGATGCCAGAAATGTTTCTAAACATTCCTGGACACACAGGTCAGCTCTCCTATGTAAAAAGTCATCCAGCCCAAAACTTCAGTAATGTTAAAACTGGGGAGCTGCTTTACTAATATGCTGTTCTTCTTTTTTAAAATGGTGGTGCTGAGGATCAAACTGAACCTGGGTGAGTCTTATTCATGCTAGGTAAGCTCTCTTTGTGGTAGTTCATGCCTACATCACAGATTTATAGCCTAAAGAATTACCATAAAATAAACATATATGTGGAACCACCACTCAGAAAATTATAAGTACCCAGAAAAGTTTCCCTTGGAAATCTTTCTACTCAGTTACCTGAAATTATAACCACTAATCTGACCTTTAACAACACCATACACAAATTTTGCCTATTTAAAAATTTAATAAGATGGCACCTTATTAAATCCATCTTGTGGAGGGGAGTAGCATTTCCCTCAGCTGCACACTTAGAAACTTAACACAAAGGGCAAATAAAGCAGATCCCATCTTATATGGGCCTGTGTGCGCTGGGCTCCT